ACAGTTTTAGTTTATATACTTTTAAATATACTTTTAACATACTTTTTGGATACTTCTTAGTTTATATACTTCTTTATATACTTTTAGAACGTTATGTACTTTTAAGTTTATACACATTTTAAAGTTAGTTTTCTTTAATTAAATTTGGGATACTGTTAAATATTATCTTTGTATACTTTCAGTTAAATCTGTAGATGAGCCCATTATGAAACACTAACCAAAGGAAACAGTAGCCGAAAATGTTTTCAAATACCTAAGTATCCTCAGTGAGTACAGTTTACAGAATCACTTACTTTAATAGCCAAATAAAGGGAATTTTAAGTACAAAAGATAACTCAGAGGAAGAATCAAAGGATAATATAGCACTAAAGAATCAAGAATTCACGTCCCCCCCCCAGCTTCCTTTCACTTCACTACCTCTCAGGCTTCCATTTAAAACTAGTTCCTGCTTACTTTAGAGTGAAGTGGCTATAGTCTTAAAGCAGAGGAAAACAAAAGAGAAATGAATTCCCAGCAATCATCTGTCTAGGCAGATAGTTGGAGATATGAAAGAGTGAACTGAAAACGGGCAACAGTCTCATTCCACAGGTGGTGTGTGCAGCTGCAAGGGCTCGGGTCAGACAGCCCTTTCCGAAACACAGGGAAATATTCAGCCTTGTCTGTCATGCTCATTCCCTGCAAGAGGACAGACCTGGCAGCCTTAAAAAGGAAGAGTCCTGGAATCAAACCAGGCTCCTCTGTGTTTCCTGTTTGACCAAAAGCAATTGGAAACAAGCAAAATCCTGCGATCAATTCACTTAAAAAAATTTGTATATATCACACATATGTACATACATTTTATTAATAGATTGCCTGATGATGTCAAATAATCCACCTTTACAAACTAAATGGTCTTTGCAGATGACTTGGAACTACCTGTTTGTCTCCTCTGTTCTGCTTTTCATAGTCAGATATTATTTCAAATAACTTTTCTTTTTGCTTGATGGAAATAAACAAGCTAGGGTCACTGATCTAACCCCGTGATGTGTTTTTTCTTGGTCTCACGCTGCACTTCTAGTTTCATAAATAAAGCTGCATTTAGGCTTTGATTTAGAGTTAGTTGACAAGGGTGCCCTTCATTCTATTTTATTTCCACTCTCTGGCTTTTCACGGATGTGTGCTTTGCTCAAGTGTCCCCAGAGGCCTGGAAGGACTAGCTAGATGGAGGAGCCTTGAGTTGCTGCTCGCACAGCTGTTTACATGGATTATCTCAAGAAAGCAGCCATTGCATCTCATTTGTGGGGTGAAAAAAATTCAAGAAAGAAAAAGAGGGTTTAGATCTTTTCTTTTTCTTTTGTACTTTGTGTAAAGACTTGCATTAATCACCCTCCTAAGATCACTATATGTGATCCTCATCCATGTGAGGACTTTGCTTGTTTTATTTTACTTTATTATTTCCTTCTTCACCACCAGCATTGGCAGCTACTCTAATGTATTTCATATGTGTTTGGATATGCGTGTATGACCGAGTTGTTTTTTATATAACGTTTTATGAATGTACGTGGGTTGATTTTGTAACGTCTGATGGCTGTCATTCTATTTCTTTTTTATGCAATGCTGCTTTTAAGTTTTATCCATTTTCCTTTACACACATCTAGCTCATTTCTTCGAACTGCTATTTAAGGGCTTCATATTATGTGTCTGATACTCTTAAACCTCCCTTGCCCTAGTGGTGGACTCCCAGGTGGCCTCTAACTTTCTTGTACTATAAACAACCCTGTGAGAGGCATATCTCCTCATAAGCCTGGGTGGAGAGGGATTGGTAGATCATTGGCTGTGCATGCATGGGCACACATACACACACACAATGAAATACTGCCAAAGTCCTCTACAGAATATCTGTATCTACACACAGTCCCAGCAGCAGCACATGAGGGTTTCTGTTCCCCATATCTTGGCCAAAACTGCTAAGATTGCCCAACTTTCTAATTTTTACAAATCTATTAGGTGTTAGGTGGTGTCTCAAATGATTTTCATTTGCATTCCACTAGTTACCAGTGTCACTGAACTTCTTTGCAACCCTTCTTAGGCATTTTTTTCTCTTATGTCTTGTGCTTTTGGGGTCAGATTTACACAGTTCTTTCCCATCACAAATTCTCAAATATATTTTATATGTTTGTCTATTAGCTTTATCATTTTATAGCTTTATAACAGGTCATAAGGTACTAAAAATATGTGATTATTATTGGGCACCCCTAGCATTATGTAATACAGTACTGGCCACGTTGTAGGAACTTAACAAATAAATTCTATTTCCATCTCTAGCCCTCTTTCTCTGGTAGTGAATTGAATGACCCCTCTGATACAGACTGTGTAGCAGCTGAAGAGGCTAGAGAGCCCTTTCTGCTCGGGGCATCAGTAAGTCAACAGCATGCCGCCTCTGTGCTGTCACCCTAGCCCAAGCCACCATCATCTTGTGCCTGGACTTTGGTAGTAACCTCCACTTGGCATTTTCCTATCCATTCTCAACCCTGGTGCCAGAGTGTTAGAGCTTAGAGCAGTGCTTGCATATAATAAGTGCCAATGTATGTTGGTTATTATTATAATTATCACCATCATCATTATTATAGAGCTTGCACTTACATAAGCACTTAAAATAGTTATAAATGAAAAATATGTTCCATGTCTATAGTATGCCTTGTACTAGTTAAAGGCTATCCAGAAAACCTGTTTTGTTTCAACCCTGAATTGTATGAATCTTTTGCTTACTAAGTTCAGATTAACAACCTGGCGCTGGCCATTTATTATCTGTCATGGTCCTGAGATCATCATTTTAAACATATATTCCCACTGTACAAGTTGTAAGTAGCTGGAGATTGATCTCTACAGGCTCTAGAAAATGCCCTGGGATTTTTTTTTTTAACTCAGCCTCTGATTTAATCGTATTTTCAGTCATTTTTTGCCTTTTCTCCATAGAAGTCAAGTGTACTATATCAGTTATGGTTCAGTCAGGAGACAACCACACAGTAATCTGAATAGGGAAAATTTAATATAAAGCATATTAACTAGAAGTGGGATTAACTCCTAAGGGGTAAAGAGAACTCTAAAGAATGCAAGAATAGTGGCTATAGGGAGCAGCTACTACTTCCTAGGCCAGTGTTCCTCAATTTTTTTTCTTTTCATTTTTTCCCCTCTAAGGAGACTTTTTAAAGATAATGCCTCCCTTATCACCACCAGGCCCCCCATCCCCTTACAGACGCACTGTTTATCTGTGTGTTCTGTGGCCCTTGGGAGGAATAACCTAAGATTATTTCACACACACTCCCCACCAGGAACCAATTTCACCCACACTGGTTATACCTGCCCCAGGGCTAAGCTGAGTACTCAAGGAAGGAAAAAATTTGGAAAAGCCTCCTCTTCCTCAGGGCTGACTTCACTAGAGAGGATGTAGCTCTCACCCACTAGATGGTTAAGAAGTTCACTACTCGTCAGGGCCAGGAAGTAAGAAACTACCTGCTAGGGTACCTGTGAGATTCCCTGGGTGGCTGAGTGCAGCTGGGATTCCAACACAATTGGCTGCTGGGTACCCCAGAATAAGGAAAATCGTATCAGAACAAAGAAGAGAGAAGCACTTTCCCCCTGCAGTGGCCCTCCAGGACCCTTTACTGATGAAGCTTAACATCCTCCCAGCTGCAAAGGAGAAATGTTTACAGGGCCCAGCTCCAGCATCACAAAGTAGAGCAGGGAAGGGTGGATTTGGAGCTGAGAGGAAATGAGCTGATAACTGGAACATGCATCAAAAGAAATGCTTTTAAATAAAGGGTTCTAATTAATTTCTGGCTAATCAAAGTTTTATGATGCCAAGGTTTTACCACATTGTTGTATATGCATATCAAAACACCCAGGAATTTATAAAAACGCAGGGCATATGGTCAGTAAAGAAATTATTATTATGTATTATCATTTATGTGTGAATTTTATGCGTTTGACCCACTAGGAGTGAGATTTACACTTTTGAGTTATTTTCTTGAGAATGCAAATGAATGTCTGATTTGTCTATATATATTCTCCCTCCAAACAATTCAGCCAGAGAATGTGCTGACTACCTGACGCCAGTCTTCTCTCTTTGGTAGTAACATTTCTGAGCATAATTCAATAGACATTTTGATTTACCAGTAAATCTGTTATGAGGTTGGCAAATACATCAATTCATCGGAACCTGATTGTTCTTGGGTGAACAGATAAAATCAAATTTCTGATTCACAGAATTAAGGCCTAAACCTCAGAAGAGAGGTATAAGTCACTGTAACAAGGACACCTGGCCTGGCCAGTGAGTCTTCCCCACCTACCAGATACTGTATCTTTAAGGATAATGTCTGCAGCCAAGGAACAGAGCAAAGACAGCTAATCACTGTTTTTGACCTTGTTTGAAATTGGCCACAATGCTAACTTCTTGTGTAAGCCCACAGCTGCATGTCCTCTAGATGCCTCAATTCACACTTCTAGTTTGGATTGGGTGTGAAAGGATTTGCTGAAATGGGGCATGTGATTCAAGCTTTCTGGGATTCAGTTTCATTGCCTGGAAAGTTGGAAAATATTATGTTGAATAAGCACAATTCTCTGACCTAATCAAAATGCAACTTAATTTTTGTCCCTACTATCCCTATATATGTATAAAGTCTGTCTTATCTATCTATCTTTCTCTGATCTGGTATTCTGGCAAGCCCTCAAATTTTCTGGCCGCTTTAAGGTCACAGACTGTCACTTTCAATTACAAACACAGTCTTGATGTAGAAATTAGAAATGTCCAGTGTGAGATAGTAATCAAAACTCCAAATCCGATTTTAAGGACACATCCTCTCCATTCCTCCAGCCCAAGACGGCTTCATTCTGAGAGCCTGCAGTGGGCGGGGAGGGCGGGGATGGCTCCTCCTCAGCACTTCTTGTCAAGTGTATGGGGGCGACGTTGTGTTGGGGATCTTCTATTTGCTCCTCCAGATCCACTCTCTGCCCTTTCCTACCTTCTGCTCTGCCCTGGGAGGCTGACCCAGATGAACGTGCTCCCTTTCCCTTTGCCTTCCAGTTTGGTTTGGCCAACGGAGAGCTCTGGCAGAAAATCAGAGGAAGGGAGAGGGTGAGATCAAAGTTTTTATTCCCTTGGCTTTTTTCCCAGGAAAAAAGCCTCTGGCTATCTGTGTCCCTTGAATAGTCTGTGTCCCCTGAATAGAAGTCATTGCTCCTCTCAAAGGGGTCTCCTACAAATGACACTGCCTTTCCAGGTTCTGATAATCACTCCCTTAGTACCTACGGGCATCAGCCATCCTGCTGTTCCTAAGCCCTAATTCCTGGACGAGCCTTTGTGTTTTCTTTATACCCCACCAACTCTCTTGTAAATAGTCTCTTTAAAAATAAACTCTCCGGGGGGCACGGTGGCTCACGCCTGTAATCCTAGCACTCTGGGAGGCTGAGGTGGGTGGATTGCTCGAGGTCAGGAGTTCGAAACCAGCCTGAGCAAGAGCGAGACCCCATCTCTACTATAAATAGAAAATAAATTAATTGGCCAACTAATATATATAGAAAAAATGAGTCAGGCATAGTGGCACATGCCTGTAGTCCCAGCTACTCAGGAGGCTGAGGCAGCAGGATTGCTTGAGCCCAGGAGTTTGAGGTTGATGTGAGCTAGGCTGACGCCACAGCACTCACTCTAGCCTGGGCAACAAAGCGAGACTCTGTCTCAAAAAAATAAATAATAAAAAAAATAAACTCTCCTCAAATTATCCTAATTTAAGTGTGTCATCTGTTTCCTGTTGGGACCCTAACTTGGGGAAAAAAAATCAAGCAAAATTCATAGTGCATAGCAACATCTGAAATTTAAACAATCAATTTTCTTAGATTAAGTAACTCACATCACAAAACTCAGAAAATCATTTGGCCCAATATCATTATCCAAAGTGGCTCAACAACTGTCCTGTACTGCACATTCTAGGTTCATAAAGGTCAGAATTGGTACATCTAGCCTCTCCTGATGCATCTTTCTCTTTCAGGACTCACAGGGAAGAACATGGATCTAATGAGATTCAATGTCTTCATGAATCGGTCTCATACACTACCAGGCATATATGCATTTTAAAAGAGGACTCAAGGATAAAAACGTGAAGCTATAATGGTAGAAACTGTGGATGCTATGACACCAGGGGTGGAGAAGGATGTTTGACCTCATCTGTTCTGATCAAGATGAGGTCCAATTTTCCTGCCTTTTGTTCTAAATATGTCACCCAGAGCAGAATTTTCAAGTCCTTGCTTCAGTGTTTGTGCAGTTTTTCAGGCCTTACCAGTGTATCAGTTATTCGAATATTTTAAAGCACCTATCAAGGAGAGCTTAGTTTTCATTCTCGAAAGTACAAGAGATGCTTAAAGATTGTTTGTGGTAGTTTTATAGTGTGCCTGAGAAAATCATTAACATTGCCTCTCTTCTTCTGCTTGCTTCTGATCAGCCGTACAAAATGAAAGAAATCAAGTAAACAACTTTCAGCAATCAGGGGACCCTAAAATAGCAGGCAAACTGTAGCAGGTTAAGCACACACCATGCAAATCACTCAAATTGTGTACCTGGCAAATAGGGCTAACAATTTATACTTTGACTTGATTATTTGAAAAAAAAAAAACTTTTCTGTGGCATAAATATAGACACTAGTTCTATCTTGCAGCCAAGTTTCTCACCAGAAAGCCACATTAATCTTATGATTCTCTTACATGGAAATTAATACTTCTCACATATAAAAGAAATGGTATCTGCTAGGGCTTGTGGAGTTGTAAAATATGGTCTCCCTCCTTTTCTGCTCTGGTTGAAATTAGTTGGTTTCAGTCCATAAATATTTACTGAGTGTTTACAATGTGCCAGGCAACTGTTTAATGTGAGAAAAACAGTGCTGAAGAAGACAAACCAAATCTCTGTCTGAGACAGCTGCATTCCAAGTAGGGGAGGGGATATGCAATAAACATGTAAACAAACAAAGAATATAATAATTTCAGGAATAAAGGCTATATAGAAGGTAAAATGGGTAATAATGGTAGATGGTACCTGGGGTGTAGTGTGGCTACTTGGTGACATCTGAGTTGAGACCTGAAGGCTGGGAAGGAGGCAGCAATGTGACAGTCTGGGGAAGAATTCTGCTAGACAGTAAGTGCAAAGGGCCTGAGGCAGAAACGAGCCTTATGTATTTGAGGGCAGAAAGATGGGCAGTGTGTCTGGAACAGAGTAAGGGGGAAGGCTTGGAAGGAGATGAGGCAGAACAAGAGAGGTGGAGCCAGATCAAAGGAGGATGAGAAGCTGGTAGAGAATTTAAAGCAGGGAAGCTGGGAAGAAATAGAATCTAATTTATATTTTTAAAAGATAACTGGCTACTTTGTGGAAAATGGCTTGTAGAAGGTCAAACACAGAAGTGGGGAGACCAGGGAGGAGGCTATGGCAGAAGTCCAGGTGACAGACACTGGTGGCTTGGCCTAGGGTTTCAGCAACAGGCCACTACCAGCCTATACAACAGGCCTTTTAAAAATTAGAAAAAGGGTCCTCTTCCTTTTGGGTACCTTGAACAGCAGATAGATCAAATGCAGGGTGTGAAGAAAAGAGAGGAATCCAGAATAACACAAGTTTGCACCTCAATAATTGAGTGGAGAGTGATGGAATTAGTAGTTCAGTTGCGATCATGTTCACTTGGAGGACCATGACGTTTTCACAAGCAGTGGGTGTCGCCGTGTTACGATGTGAAAACTCAGTAGCATTGACCACACTGATGTTGGCCTCCTTCCAGCTGGCCCTGGGAACCTTACGCTGATGTAATGAGATAACATTTGGGAGATGTTAAACCAACGTATTTGCCTTCCCAGTAAGCCCTTGTCCCCATTGCTCCTCCACCCCTTGAGTCAATGGAATGTATTGAGTCACAGGGAGAAAAAAACCCAGCCCATATGAGGTAAGTAGCTTGGAGTTTCAAAATCGGATTTAAAAAAATTGATAGCAAGACAATAGTTTGAAATCAAGCGCTTTTGATTTGCAAAAGCCAGACTTTGTTGAAAGAAAAAAATGTATTTGCATATACCAGTGAGGCAGAACTGGGGGGGACGGCCCCTGAGCAGATCGTGGACAGAGCCGTGAAGAACACAGGATGTGATGTCAGAGCCATTTTCCCATGACTGCAAAGGAAGGTAAAAGTCTAAGCAGCAGGCAGGAAGTTGGGAGATTCAGAGAGTATGAGCACAGGGGTGCTCCGGCTAAGTGGAGGGGGAAACCGAAAGCAGGGGAGGCGCATACCTTACTTTCTGTTTGGAACTGGGGCAACTACAGAGAAGTGGAAATGCTATGGTTAGGCAACAACAGGGCTTGAGACAGTGCTTCCTGTTGCTCAGGGCCCACATATGGTCTGTTGGAGAGCCAGTGGCTGAATGACGAAGGGTGACAGGATGAATGGGCTGAAGAGGCCTGGCCTTGGGCCAAAAAGGTGCAAGGCTTATGGTCTTTGCCACTGCAGGCCATCACGTGGGCTGTGGCTGTCAGTAGCTGAAATCACTGTAGGCCCAAAGGCGGGAGAGAACAATTTCCTCACCAAGGGAGGCCAGGAGGGCCTGGATGATGGCAGACAGAATTCCCCGGTACCTGGATGACATCCTGGGAAAGGAAACAGGGAGAGGAGAACCCTTGGATGAGGGAGAAACATTGAAAGACTCTGTGATTTCCCAAGGGAGACTGTTTTAAACCCAAAGAGACTGAGATATCTTTAATTGGCAAGATCAAGTGTTTTCCACCTACGTCAGGAATGGGGGCTTTCCAGAAAAAAGTCATTATAGAGAATAAAGTCACTTTTTCTATATATCTGATTTTTAGTGGTACATTGAATCCTGCTACATTAGGAAGGTCTGCATTGTTACCAAGTAAAGAGAACTCAGCTTGATGTACCTCTGCCTTCAATAAAGGGAGGGGAGGGATTGATACTGTCAACAGTAGCTGCCTCCAGGGAGGGTAACTGAGGGACAGAGAAGGGAGAAAGACATATTTTTTACTGTACATTTCTGTACCTTTTGCATTTGTTCCACATGCACACATTAACCATTCAAAGATACATTAAAATGTGAAAAATAAGTTTCTGAAATGAAAAACTCCAGATGCACAGAATCTGATAGTCAGTGTTTGACAATTAACATTACATACTTTTCATCTCACCAGCATCTTCGAGCCACTTCTCAGTGTACCTGTGGTTATTCCTTTCATGTATGCTCATGTTGGCTTTGCGAGCTGTCTGTCCTGCCTCTCCAGCTACTCCAGACACAATACTACCCACCCTGTAAGTGGGCCACCCCTTACACAGGGGAAACAATCCCACCGCCCTCATCAGTCTTGCCTGCCATCCTAGATTGAGGCATGGGAATGGTTCATAAAAGCCTTCTGCCTCCACTCTGGTTATTTCCACCCTTTTGGCATCACATGGCAATGGGGCAGTAGTGGAAAGACCTTAAGTCCTGGAATCAAATTCACTAGGGCTTACCTCTGCCAGCTACTAGCTTTAGGTCTTTGGTTGAGGCTCAAGTTTCTTCTTCTACACATTGGAGTAACACAAACCTCACTGGGTTAACCCACCACAATGCTAATAATACTGTTCTGATTACTCCCAACACCGAGTCCAAGAGAACAGAGACTATATTTTGTAAAATCTTGCATCCAGCCAAACTCAACATACCTATTCTCCCTGTTTTGCTGTTTCTACCCAAGACATAAGCCTCTTCATTCATTTATTGTACCCCTTACTCTCCTTTATATCCTTCCCTGTATCTCACTCCCTCAACTCAACCTCCCTCTGCTCCCCTCTTTTATTAATTAGTATGTTTTCATTGGCAAGTAACAGGAAACTCAAGTGTAACTGGTTTAAACATTAAGGAGATTTATTGACTCGAGTAACTGAAAATTCAGCAGTGGTGAGGGCCTTGGTGTTGGTTGCCATCCAGACTTACCAAGGACCATGTTTCTTTTTCTCTATTCTGCTACCCTCAGTGTCAGCTTCATTCTGGCACTGGCTCCCCCAGTGGTTTTACAGGCTCGATGTCAGCAGCAGCTGGGCCTACATGCTTTTTCATTATGTCCAGTGGGACTGAGAAAGAGGGAGTCTTCTACTACCAAACAAAAATCCTGACCTTTTATTAATTGGAACGTCTTGAACCATTCATGGTGACTAGGGCAATGACATGTGCTAATTCATTTGGCTCTGAACCAAACTGTCCACCTTAGAGCCAGACACAGCGACAAGGGAGTTGGGATTACCATGATTAATTTAGAACAGTGGTTTTCAAGTGGGAACAGTACTGTCATCTCAGGAGTGTTTGGAAATGTTGCTATGACTGATAAATTACTGGCATTCAGTGGGGGGGAGGGGACGCCAGGAGCATCAGAGGCC